TAGGTTGCTTTATTTGTAGAATACAAAACCAAAAACCTTTTCAATGTCTATTGCCTAGGGAACTGACTACAAATTGACTACTTATTCTAGATCAATAGGCCTAGTCTCAAAGCAATTCTCTTATGAAGCAATTAATCAGACAACTCTTTAACACATTTTGCACAGGAAATTCACATTATATATATACCCTCCTTTTAACTTCACCTTATCTTTTTGTTGGAAGAAAGAGATAAGTATTATGATCTCATTTTTACTCTCAGGGTGCTATAGTCTGAATGTTTATATCCCGCCAAAGTTCATATGTTGAAATCCTAACCCTCATGGTGATGTGTTAGGAGGTGGAGGCCTTGCGAAGTGATTGGGTCATACGGGCAGGGTCCTTATGAATGAGATCGGTGTCCTAATAAAAGAGGCCGGAGAGAGACCCCTTGCCACTTCCACCATGTGAAGACACAGCCGGAAGGCGCCCTCTGTGAACCAGAAAGCAGGCCCTCACCAGACACCAAATCTGCTGGCCTGGGGATTTCCCGACCTTCAGAATTGTGGGAAATAAATGTATATTATCTATAAGCTACCCAGTTTATGATATTTTGTTACAGAAGCCCAAACAGACTAAAAGAGAAAATGATTTACTTATCCAAGCTCACTCATGTCTAGGAACAAAATCCAGAAATCCTGACTCTTAAACTTTATCTGGAAAAGCACCAGGTCAAAGAATCCTTGCAGGTCAAAACAAGGATCTCTGAGGAAAAAAAAAAAAATTAAGGGGGGTAAGGGAAGAATCTTTGCAGGAACCGGCTTATGTAACCTATGGAGAAAACCAGTTATCATCTGGTTCCTAAATAATTCCTGTAGCCCTTATAGTAACCAATTAATAACATAAAGATAAATTATTTCCTGCAGTTTTTCAGCTTAGGGATATGTTCCTGTAAGGGACTCACTTGATGGAATTGAGAAGCTGTCTTGGCATTCTCTAGGATAAATTTGAAAGTGTCTTAGTGGCTGGCACTGTTCCTGCAACATTGTCCCCTCTAGGCTTGCACATAGAAGTCACAGTGTGGCTGGGGATTATTTAATGAAAGTGTGAACTCTTACCTGAAGACGTGGCCTGGCAACCAATTTATTTGAATAGATCACCATAGTAAATGACTAACCTCTGGGTAATAAAAAGGTGTCACCCACAGGAATACCCTTGGTCTCTAAGGAAAATGCTATAAATCTTAAGACTTTGAGTCATGAGGCCTCATGGCCAGGCGTGGTACTCTTAGAGGGTTAGCCATTGGTAATAAAAAAAAAAAAAAAAAAAAAGTAGATAGCCAAATGAATCGCTGTGGAGGCAAAGGAAGAAACACACTCTTGCCTTTTCTTCTGTTCATTTCGGAGATAGACGAAGTTCATGCCCTGGCTACTTAGGGGGCTTGCTTACACCTGATTGTATGATCAGACATCCTTTTGGCTTCACTTCCTTACTTGTGCATCCCCATGAATACTTTGGTGCCAACTTCATGCCCCATAAAGCTAACAAAAGGATCCTGATATGATCAAGGTGTGCCTGGGAATTTATAATTTGTACACATGCAATAAACAGCTCTTTATTACCCAACCCAAAGTCATATACCTCTTCTAAGATAAGCGTAAAAAGGAACCTAATAAAATCAATTAAAATATCATTGAGTAACTTCTATGTACAGAGCACTGTGTTATTTGAAATAAGGCACAAGGCAGTGTTAGCCCTCAAACAAATAGGCTGGCTGGTTTCTACTGATGCAGAGATTGTAGGCCCCTGATAAAAGCAAGGGTTCTAAGAGAGGCATCTCCACAGGAGAGGAATTGGGAAAGCAGTTGCGGTAAGGGTGGAGGAATGTAGATTCAGTTTTGGCAGACAGAGTAGGGCAATGATGAGAACACAAAAGGGATAAGTCTTTAAGGAGAGCAGAAAGAGAGACAAGAAAAGACACAAATGCTGCATGAGAAAACAGAGCCTCGCCTCTCTCTCCCTCATCTCTCGGTCTCTCCTCTCTACATATCATAGTAATATAATGTAAGGTATAGTTTTTTTTTTTTTTTTTTTTTTTGAAGACGCAGTTTCGCTCTTGTTGCTCAGCTGGAGTGCAATGGCGTCAATCTCAAATCCTCTACCTCCGCTCCTGGGTCAACAATTCTCCTGCCTCAACCTCCTGAGTAGCTGGGATTACAGGCATGCACCACCACACCCGGCCAATTTTGTATTTTCAGTAGAGACGGGGTTTCTCCATGTTGGTCAGGCTGGTCTCCAACTCCCGATCTCAGGTGATCCACCCACCTCAGCCTCCCAAAGTGCTGGGATTGCAGGTGTGAGCCACCATGCCCGGCAGCAAAGCCAATTTTTTAAAGTCACCTTTTAAATAGGAAAATAGAACCAGAGAGAAAGGAAAGAAAGAGGAGAATAGAAGAACTATGAAAATATAAAAAGTGAGTGAACCTGGAACAAGCCAGAAAAGAGGAGAGAAATTTCCCAGAAATGAGCACTACAGTGGGCCAAATAGGGAAAGAATGTCTCACAAAAGCTGAAGTTCTTATGAAATGTAAACAAAAATGTTGGCGTTAAGTCTTGTAGACAGCAGAATACAGGAAGAGTCAGAAAAGAGCAAAGCAGCAGCTTTCCAGTTTTCACATTTGGACCCCGGGGAGCCCAGGCAAGTTTGGCAATTCTGTGTCTACATGGTGTTAATGCATCTGGGTGACAAGTGAAGAGTTGGGTCAGGCCTCAGGGCATTTGGTCTTTCTGGTGTCAACAACTGGATTCTGGGTGGCTGGCAGACTTAGGGACTGAAAGAGAGGCTGAGTGTTCTGGGGAACCATTTATGCCTTGAAGACAAAGCAATTTCCAATTCCAGAACGAAATGACTGTAGCTGTCTCCTGTTTCTAGTCCCAGTTATCTGAATGTACTTGCTCATATCCAAGGCCTTTAGTGGGGGCCTAATATATGCCTCAACTATTTTGCAAAATCCACCCCTTCTAGCTCGCTGAATGAACAGGCTCACCAAAACCTGGTCAACAAATGAAATAGGGTCGGTGGCAGTAATGTGCCCAATGATGGTTTATGAGGTCTTACCAATTGGGTTGCAACTAGAGCCCCTTGGGAACAGTGAGAGCCAGAACCTGCTTAGAAGGGAGTCAGCCCCTCCTGCCTTGGATGGGCAGGCCAACAGCATCAGGGAGAAGAGGTGTCCCAGGTGCCACCGCAGGTGCAAAGCCCCTTCTCCAGCCCAGGCTCAGCCCTGGCCACCTCAGCCTAACCTTCCTTGTTTGTCCCTCAAGCCTAACCCAGGCCTGTCTTCAGCACTAGCCACCACCACACCCACATTCCTACCAGTCACTTCTCCTGTCTACACACAGGAAGTGGCTGCTGCCACTACTACTGCCCTTATTGCAGCCACGCCCAGGGCTATGCTCTTAACCACGCTATAGGGCTATGATCTTAACCACGCTGCCTGATCTTAACCACCTGCCTCTTGAGGAAATATAAAACCAGGGAAAGGGATAGAGAATGTGCGAGCTTGCTAAGGCTGCTGTAACAAAACACCAGGAACTGAGTGACTTAAATAACAGAAATTTATTTTCTCCCAATTCTGGAGGCCAGAAGTCCAAGATCAGATGTTGGGAGGGTAGGTTTCTTCTGAGGCCTCTCTCCTTGGCTTGTACGTCTCTCTATATCTTCACATGGTCTTTCTTACATGCCTGTCTGTGTCCTAATCTCCTCTTCTTAGAAGGACACATTCGTATTACATTAAGACCTCCTTTTAACTTAATTGCCGCCTTAAAGGCCCTATCTCCAAATACAGTCACATTCTGGGTGCCCAGGGCTAGGATGGTACCGATATGAATTTTTTTGCAAAGAGAGAGGGACACAATTCATTCCATATCAGAAAAGGGCAGGGGAGGAGCCGATTGTCAGTTCAGCAAGTGTGGTCAGCAGAGATTTCTCCAAGGAGGTGGTATTTGAGCTGAGACCTAAATAAGGAGTAGGGGCAGGCTTGTAGAGATCTGAGAAAGTGGGAATGGCAAGAATAACACTGTGAGTGGCAACAGGGACCTGTGCCAGCATAGACACCCATGGGGCACCTCCTCAGAATCCCCTCCCTGCCATCCTCATAAAGTGGCCCAGCAGCCAAGTTAGTACTTCATGACCTCTCACCTTAAATGGAGTTGGGAGAATTGTGGAGTCCTAACTGGGGGCTGAGGGAAGTGGAGAATTGGGTTGGTGGGATCAAGGGAAAGCAAAAAGAGAAAGCAGACAAGGCGCGGTGGCTCACACCTGTAATCCCGGCACTTTGGGAGGTGGAGATGGGTGGATCACTTGAGGTCTGGAGTTCGAGAACAGCCTGGATGACAAGGTGAAACCTCATCTCTACTAAAAATACAAAAATTAACCAGGCATGGTGGCAGGTGCCTGTAGTCCCAGCTACTCGGGAGGCTGAGGCAGGAGAATCGTTTGTGCCAGGGACGCAGAGGCTTCAGTGAGCCAAGATCGTGCTACTGCACTGCAGCCTGGGCAACAGAGTGAGACTCTGTCTAAAAGAAAAAAAAAAAAAGCAGATAAGCTATAAGTCTGCCTTTCTTCATGGTCCAGGACACATAGCCCTCTTGTGTAAATAACACACAATCTTCCTGCTCCCAGCTATCTCCAGATCCTCGGCTGATAGAAAGAATGCAAGTTAGCTCACTGCAACCTTGACATCATCAGTACTGCACAAAACCCTCTTCAGCACACAGCACGAGCTCTATCCTATAAAATCCCCACCAAGCCTTTGTCTCCTTTCATTCAGCTTCTCTTTTGCCAGCCTGCCCATTGCTTCCTTGCAACATATTTTTATACTTTCTCTAATAAATCTGCCTTTCTTTACCTACAACTGGCTTGATAAATTCCTTTTACCCTCACGCCACTGGCCCCTGATAGTCACGGCTCACCTGCAACAAGAATAAAAAGGAACTCCGAACGCAGCTAAGTATTTGGTTTCTCTCGCCTGAAAGCTTGAGTCTGGGCCCCTGACGGATTGTGAGTCAGTTGGTATGTGTGGCTGCATCTGCAGCGTGTCGGCCTGGGAGCCATGCACATTCTGCCATGAGAAAGGAAGAGTAGAGAAAGCCGGTCTGCAGAGGTAAGTTGGGAAGCTGTACAGACGGAAGGGACAAGACAAAGAGAGTCCTGTAGTATTTAAATTCCTGAAGCCTGGTCTCATGTCTGCATTTGGATTTTGTGTATTGCTCTTGCCCCCACACCCTTCCTCTTTTTTCCTCAGATTCTAAATCCAAGGAATCCAACCCCAACTTCCCCCAACACTTTTTTTTTTTTTTTTGAGACAGGGTCTCACTCTGCTGCCCAGGCTGGAGTGCAGTGGCATCACTGCAGCCTTGACCTCCTGGGCTCAAGTGAATCTCCCATCTCTGCCTCCCAAGTAGCTGGAACTACAGGCGTGTACCACCCTGCCGGGTTAATTTTTGTATTTTTTGTAGAGATGAGGTTTCGCCATGTTGTCCAGGCTGGTCTTGAACTCCTGGGCTCAAGCAATCCATCCACCTCAGCTCCCAAAGTGCTGGGACTACAGGTGTGAGCCACCGCGCCCGGCCCACCTCCCTTTTTCGCGTCCTTTTTCTGCTCAGGCTTGCTGATGCTGACCTCTGTCACTTGCCACCAAGGAGCCCTCATACAGAATATAGACCCGAATGGGGCCTCACTGCAGGCCACCTAAATGTGGAGGGCTGGGTCCTGTGTGTGTGCTGGTGGAGACATGAGCCAGAGAGAGCTGGCTTTCAGTGTTGTCACCATGGTTACTGCTGTTTGACTCATGTTGTAGTATTTCCCCACTGAATCCCACACTGTCCACCCACTGAATCCCACACTGCCGGCTTACAACTCAGGGGGAAGTCTTTCCTGGGAAGCTGGGGTTGGGCTGCACCTTCCCTGCGAGGCAGCGCATCCTGGCCCACTGTCAGTTCAGATTTGCCTGGATCCACCATATTCTGGCCTCCACCTGTGCCATTCTCCAAGACTGTCATCCTGCCTCCTACCGCTCTGCAGATTCTGTCCTCCTCTTTTCTCTACACCAAAGTCATACTCTTTTTCTCCTCAAGAACAACAGACTTGCTTATGTGGGTTTCCCCCAGACTTTTACTAAAACTGGAATAGTCAAAATCCTCTGGGCACTGCAGGCCTGTTATGTTACAGAGAGCAGAGGGAGGAGGCCACGGTCGCTATTGATAAGCATCGCCTGCAATGGAGTGGGAGGGTTCACAGCGCAAACTGACCCATGGGGCTTGCCAGGACTGTGGCAGGGTGGGGTGGAACAGGACTGACAGGCTCCTGTTTCTTCCAGATCTGCACATTGGCAACATGCCATGCATATTTTCAATATGTCTGCTAGCCAGCAACCATAAATATCTCTGTGGAATGAGCTGGGGAGATCTGGTTTGTGCAGAAAATCAGGGAACATGGAGGAGGATTTGCCCCTCTCTGCACTTTTGAAGAGCGTGCCACGTGCTTCTGCCAAGGGCAGAACCAAGGTTGCAAACCTCACAGAGAAGTCAGACGTTTAGTTAAGTCTGGCTGTTTACTATAAACTGTGGAAGTCTATTGACTACAAATGCACAATCTAAATCATATCAAGAGCATGGAGCAGCAAACGGTGGCAGGTAGTTTTCAGAAAAGAGCTAATTCTTTCTCATCCAGGTTGCAAGTCAGAGCTCTCCAAATGCCTCATTATCATTAGCAGCAATCATGAAATCCTCAGCACTACTGGCCCGTGGTGCCATTGAGAGTAAAGGGCAGAGATCTTACAATCAAGTTAGAAGTTCCTGTTTGTTCTATACCTAGCATAGAATTACAGGTGGGGGAGGAACTAGGCCATAAAAAGTACAATTTATGTTTATAGAGATGAGAATGAGCACGATTACATTTTAGTTAACGAAAGCCCTTTCTAGGGGCAAAGGAAAAGTCAGAGCTGGGTAACTGATTACTGGAGATGTACTGGTATTCAAGAAAGAATTTATCTACCATGGAGATAGTATTCCAGGAAGTAAACTTTTGTTTATTATCTCACTTAAGAGATAAACAAGTGTCCACTATAATCATTATTAGCACCCAGTGCTCCTTCTGCCTCTGCTGCCAATTCATTCATTCATTCATTCAGTTATTTATCATGTCATCATTCACACATTGTCATATCTACTGTCCTCCAGACTTCTACTCTGGTAGAAGTAGAGGACACAGGCTGGGCGCGGTGGCTTACGCCTATAATCCCAGCATTTTGGGAGGCTGAGGCGGGCGGATCACGATGTCAGGAGTTCGAGACCAGCCTGGCCAACATAGTGAAACCCTGTCTCTACTAAAAAAAAAAAATATATATATATAGCCAGGTGTGGTGACAAGTGCCTGTAGTCCCAGCTACTAGGGAGACTGAGGCAGGAGAATCCCTTGAACCTGGGAGGCAGAGTTTGCAGTGAGCCAAGACCGTGCCACTGCACTCTAGCCTGGCAACAGAGTGAGACTCCGTCTCAAAAAAGAAAAAAAAGAAGTAGAGGACACAAAAGTAGGAAAGACATGTTCCCTGCCCTCGAGGATCCCCCAACTGTTGGATCAGACACACACATGAACAACTAACCCCAGTGCAATGCAGTAACTGCTGGAGTAGAGGAATATGACCCCTGCTATAGAAGGACAACACAAGGAACACTTCATTCTTCCTAGGCGTGAGGAAAGGTGGGGCAGGGCCCATGGAAACAGCCTGACCAAAGCCAATGAGGATTAGGGTGCGGGTGTGGTAGCAATAAGACTGAACATTGACACTGGGTTATCATATGCCCACAGATATTCTGGGCATTTTCTATACTTTAACTCATTTAATGCTCACAACAACCCTATGAGGTAGATATTTTCATTTTGCTGCTGAGAAAACAGAGGCACAGAGAGTCAAATAACTTAATCAGAGTCACACAACTGGTAAGTGTAAGATTTGGGGTTTGAAACCAGGCAGGAAGGCCTCAAGTCCATGATGTGAGCCATGATGCTCTACTACCTGATCCAGGAGCACACGGGACATATGGAGGAAGGGAGGGGTGCTGTAGTCAGATTCACAATGGCCTTTAATGCCATGTACTTTAACCTAGTATGATAAATTTGCTCTAGAGGAATAATGCAAGGGCTGGATGGGTGGAGGGGAAGAGAGACAGAAAGGAGGAGACCAAGAGAGGTTATTGCAACACTCTAAGAGAGAACCCAGGGCAGCGGAGATGGGACCTAGAGGAGCTTATCTCTATTTGCTTACTGGTTAAGTTCGCAGCCAGATGGCAAATACCTGGCATGCCTTCTACCACCCAAGACAGATGTTGATAACAAATCACACTACTTTTTCTTGCTGAGGTCGGATGCTGCCTCAGAATCTTTCTCAACACAGTGCTCCGGGCAGCCACTGCCAATCAGTCACAGCTGGTACATTAGATGAAACCTATTTGTCATCTCTCATTGTGACAGACATTTTCAGTGGACACGATGGCAGATAGAATGTCCCAATAAGGTGAAAAAAAATGTAGTCACAGATACCTTGGAGGTTTCTGCCGTGGGTCCCTCAATGGAAAGCCACGCTGTGGATGGTGATGGAGAACAGAGAAATAGTGGGTTGGGAGGGAAAACCATGAGGCTTGTTTTGCATGTCTTCAGGTCTGAAGTCCAACAGGGCATTCAAGTGTAAAGGCTGACATGAAAACATGGGTCTGAGTTCAGGAGAAACTCAAATTGGAGGTGTAGGAGAGAGTGTCATTGAAGGCTTGAAACTCAGTGCCATCTCCCAGAATGGACAGAAGATAGAAGAGGGTCAAGACTAGAACGTGGGGGAACACCAGTCCACATGTGGTGTAAGGAGAAAGAAGAGAGGCTTGTGTGATGGGGGAAGAACGTTTCCAGGTGGAGGTAGTCAGGGCGTCAGACACTGCGGAGAGATCGGGAGCAATAATGAAGGCTGCGGTGAGGATTCAGTAACGCGGAGGCCTTTGTGGCCATTTCCAGTAGATTGGAGAAAGTCAGTGGGCACCAACTTACATGGTTTATTGGCTAAAAAGGTGATGAAGATAAGACTATTCGGACGCAGGGTTAAAAGGGGAAACTGGAGCATGTTGCTGACTGGGAGGAAGGAAAAGGTGAACAGGTGAAGACTGCAGTTGCAGAGGGACAAGGGGGTTAGGAAGGGATGGGTTAAGAATAAGGAGGATTTCTCCTTGGAAAGAATAGGATTTGTCAGAGTTTCATGTCATATTTATTGGTATGATTCTTACCACTTAATAATAGGGCTCTGTCCTTTTTTGGTCACTCTTTTATCCCCAGTGCCTAGCAGAATACCAGGCACTGAATTTATACATGCCAAATAAAGTGAATAAATGCCAGAACATCTCTTTTTCCTAGATATGAAGGAGTCACCAGGGCCAGTGTTCCATTTATTTAGAGACAGGGTCTTTCTCTGTGGCCCAGGCTGGAGTGCAATCACAGCCCACTGCAGCCTCAAACTCCTGGGCTCAAGCGATCCTCCTGCTTCAGCCTCCCAAAGTGCTGGGATTACAGGGTGCACCACTTTGCCCAGTCTACCAATGTCCTTGATGGTGGGAGATGGAGAAAATCACCTTAGCTGGTGAGAAAGAGGGTGATGGGAACAGCAGTGAAGGAACTGCTATAGTCATGATCAAATTCCCCAGAATTAATATAAAAGCTATACCAGAATTTTCATTCTTAAAGGCAAAGTAAGGAAGGGAAGGCCATGGTCATTATTTCCTTTAGAAGGAGACACTAGAAGCCATGTGACAGGATTTCTGAAGCTCAGTAATTAATAACAGACAGGTACTTCTATTATAATTTTCTCTTCTTTCAATAGCTAACACCCAAGATAAATACAAAGTAACTCGCCATAATTTCTAGCATTTCTCCTGGGGGGTGGAAGCTTCCTAAGATAAATATGTTAAGAGATGTGCTACTTTTTCAAATGCAAGTGTGATCTGGTCTGAAGAAAAAAATGTTCCTTCCACTTGTGTCTTTTTTCCCCTTTAGACTTAAAATTTTTTTTAAATTTTTTTCCTTTGCTACAAGCCCATGAGGAAACAAAATAACATAGCTGAGTGC